CATGATGCTGTGGTATGGAAGGAATTTGTAGAGGGGTCAGCGTTTGCCAGTTCATCACCACTCTTTAATCAATGGTGTAACCCAATGGCTTTAAGAATTATCAGACATGGATCAGAACAGAATACAATGGTGTTCATGCTGTAGCTTTCTTGTACGCTCTTTGTTTGCTCATTGATTCTCCCTGATTTTACTGCCCTCTCCTTTCTTTATATCCTCACAATGTTATTATCTCCGTACTTGGCATGACGTATACTACTACTAATACAACTTTTAATGACTAGTTATTCCAAATAAAAAAAAATGGCTAACAGCCATTGGAGGTTTATCCATGTCGATGTAGAGACAAATAATAGACTTAATAACACCCGATATCGATCGTACTACATATTATGAATGTATCGACGTTGGAAATGTTCGCCACAGGATGACTAATTCATTAATTTTAATGTCTGATTTAACCAACAATAAGTTCACTCCACACTTTTAACCTTCAATCAATAGCTGAATTTCCCACTAACTTATTATTCTTCAGCTACTTTCTATTCTGCCACACTTGAATCTTAAAAATCAATAATCAACCTCTACCAGTTTAAATGTCAAACAGACGTAGCACAAATATAAAATCAAACAGACCAAATTGTATCGCGCAATAAATTTGAAATATATATATATATATATATAACTACCAACATCGAACTTGGTACGTACGTACGTACGTACGTACAGTCAGTTCAAATTGAAGAAAGAACATTTTAAAGTGACCCGAATAAAAGATTCTTGTTAATTGACAATTGTCAATATGACGTACAATTAGACAGATTATTTGATAACAAGGAATATTCATTCTTGAATTATTTTGTTTGAATGAAGTTTTAAAATAATTACATTGTCTTTGTGTATTATTGAACCTTCAAACATGAGCCATTTTAATTGTAATACGTTGATGAGCTTGCATAAAGGATACAGAAACATTCGTCAATTTATTCAACATCCAAATGGTTAGTAACAATATGATTATTCTGTTTCACTGAAGCTATGAATCGATCACCTTTAGACCAGTATTAGAAACCTGGAAGCATTGGACGGCCGTCTCGTCCTAATTTATGGAAGTCAACAGCAAGGTGCATAACAATGAATATCATGATTGAAGTCAGACATTAACACCGATGGATACTGACTTAGTGGTCCAGAGTTTAAGCACTCGCGCGAGAGACCGAAGGTCCTAGGTTCGATCCTCGTGAGCCAGGGTTGTGGATTTTCACTGATGATGAGTCCCATACAATAGGACGAAACGGCCGTTCAGTGCTTTTAGGTTTCGACGAGGGCCTAACATAGGTCGATTCATGGTTTCGCGCGAGAGGCCGAAGGTCCTGGGTTCGATTCCTGCGAGCAGGAGCTGTGGACACGCACTGATGATGAATTCCATAGTCCAACACAGTCTAACAATCTTCAGAACTCTATATTATGAAAATCATAATTCATTTCACTAAAAAGCTTTCATTTATACTACTCTAAGTAGGTGAGTAAGGTATAAAGAAATTTATATACAGTCATTGGAAAAGTCAGTATATAATAATATTTTCAATTGTATGAATTAAACATGAAATAATTTTCATAAGAGAGTTGTGGAGATCAGTCAGTCAGTTACAACGTAGAATTTCGTACTAAGGTACATACTTCCACCTTGCTATACCACATTAGCAGAGACTGGCAATAGCCAGTTCAAATCCCATAGTGCTAAACGTAGAAGAAGTATTAGCGGTAATCGAGAAGATTAAGGCTCGAAGGTATTATTCAAAAAGTTTAATTCAGTGAGATAAATTTAAGAAGAGGAAGGTAGAGATGATGAGGAATTCTGATGATTAGCATTTCAGAGAACACAACGAGTGGATGCACCTGCGGTATTGCAAACGATTTTGAGCCATATCGTTCAAGGTCTCTAACCATTGGTGACTTTCGTCTCGCGGGCTAGGTGGCTGACAAATACCAACATGACTCACTCCACTTGTCAGTGACTTCATGGATTTCTGCCATGCTTTAACTTAGCTCCCCCCAGCTTTCTTCCAGCCTACTCCCACACTATTAAACATCGCTCGTCGAGGCAGTCGGTGGTTGAGCATTTGAAACACATATCCCAACAACCTCAACTGATGAAGTTTCAATACTTCATCTATTGACCTACCATCCTTTCCTAGTACTCGCTTCAATATGGCAGCTTTGCTAACTCGGTTGTCCCAGGATACACGAGCAATGCTTCTAAGACATCTGTGGTCGAATACTAGTAACCTACGAATATCTTCTACTCTTACCAGCTATGTTTCGTATCCATGTCGTAGGACAGAGCGAACTACTGCGCAGTACACTCGTCCTTTAATCAGTAAACGGATATTTCGCCTATGCCATATGTGACGCAAGTTGGAAAAATACAATCGAGCTTTCCCTATCCGTGCTGAGATTTCGTCAGTCACCAGGCCATCAGCACTAATGAGACTCCTCAAATAAGTGAAGCGGTCTACACACTCAACTGCTTCACTTCTTATCACTAGTTCAGGTGCCGATACAAGCCAATCCTGAAGCAACATTTCGCATTTCGACAAGCAGAATAACAACCAATCAAATTCTAAGTGAACAGAACAAACCACTAGTCAATGATAATGGAGAAATATTTCATTGTGTCATTTCTCTTTGAAGCACGCACGTCAATGATGTTGTCAAGGTCAACAACAACAACAATAACCCCCCTTTAATACTCTGTTCCCCAAAACCAGAACTATAATACCCCATCATTTAGGCGAAAACTAATAATCATCATCAACATTGAACCACAATCAAATGAACACAAGTCAATAATGTGAGTGATTGATTGATCACATATATTTAAAACAAAAAAAGAAAGATCCAATTTCGAACAACGAAAGAGGAAAAAAACAAACCTCAGACATACAGACATACATATAGACAGACAGACAGACTACTGATAAGTAAGTAAATTTGGAGTAGGAGGAAGTGAACAGAAATGAAATTCGAAAAAAATAGTATAACTGAATGAATGAATGAATGAATGAATGAGTGAATAAAAAACTACGTCGATGAGATAAGCATCTTTACATAGATATTCTACATTGGCGTACACTTGAATAAGTTTCATTTAAAATAATTTCCGTGTGTTTTTTTGGGGAGGGGGGCGGGAGTGGCGAAATTAACAGGATAAAAATAAAAATTGAGGAAACAGTAAAAAGTGAGATGGTGTATACAACCCTCCAGCCCCCCCCACTTCAAAAATAGTCACACGTACACACACACATGCACGTACCACCGACGTATGTAAAGGTATCATCATCAAAGATAAGAGGAAAAAAGCACAGATTTTACAGATGAATTGCACTCGATGGGCGAGACTGAGTACGCAAACACACACACACACACGCACAAACAAACAAACCAGTGTTTAACTGTCGATCTGGGAATAGTGATGTCGGAGTGCTTGAGGATCATTTTTTGTGTCTATGAGAGACTGGTGATGTAAGTATTAGCTATCAAGATGGTGTGGTTGAATAAGTCGGAAATGTCCTTGTTAAATAAGAAAGGAATTCTCTTCAAAACGAGTTGGTAATTTGAAAAAAATGTATTTGTAGTTAAAACAAATAGATATGATCTATTTTTATTCCTTGATTGTTTAAATATATAATGAGTATGGTAAATAATTATGCGTCACACAAATAATTGCATTTGTTATTAAACTGAGGTACTACCCGCGTGCACAAAATAGAAGCCAGTAATTGTCTTAGAGGGCTAGACAGCTGGCCATCAAGCCTTTGACTTGTAGGTTTAATCTACAAGACAGTTTTTTGAGTATTAGCTTTGTTCTTTTCAAAAACCCTTACTGCCGGAGACGGAAATCCGTGAGGTAGGGTGAGGTGTGACATTCTCAGGGTCGACATTTTCTAACCCTTCCTTCCTTGTGAGAAGGCGTTGTCGCTGCAGATGTTGGTTGTCTGAGGGAAACACCTTACTGCTGTCACAGCCCTCTGCAGTCAGCAGTACGACTTCGCCCTCAGACCTTGAGTTGTTTCTTTTAGTCTCATCGTTCTCCAATGGACCTGCCTGGCATGGTAGAACCTTCAGGAACATATGTTCCAGCCAATATAGCTCAGTTGGATCATTATGATAGGAAAGCCCGACCACCACGTCAAAGTAGCAGCTACGGTCGGGCGGTAGCCAGACAGTAGCCAGTGAGTGACCGATCATAGGTTCACACATCAACTGTTCTCTCAGGATGCTGGAGTGCGAGTGCATCACTGGTATGAAATCGAAATTTACCGACTACCCTATGTAGGGCCTCTGTATCAACCAACCAACCAGGTTTAAGCGACATTAATTTATCTAATGTCACAAGTAATTTGTGCTTTTATTCAATAAAAGATACTAATTCACGTTCAGATTTCCAGTGCTGTAATGATGATTATAGATAGATGACGATGACTAGCAGTGGGATCCAGGATGTGCGTCACGTCCTGTTTGGGGCTTGTAGTCAGTTGAATGTACCTTCCACATAACAGAAGTGATGTTCATTCAGTGACTCGAAACGAATACAACTGTCAATAGAATACAACTATCAATAGAAAGATTTAAATTACCACTACAACTGAATCAATCTTCACCTCATTTCACAAAGACAGTGGTCATCTGGAATCATTAGCTAAGTGAATAACACAAGGATATTTGAAGCCTAAGGGTTTGAGTTTCATATTGAACGTCAACTCTCAGATGAAGGTACATCCCGGTGCAGACGAATAGGACAAAACACACGTCCTGGATTCCATTGCTAGCTACTATTATTCACTTCTGCTAGTAATGCTTGTAACCTATAGGTAGAGTATCGAGGTAATCTGCACATATGCCAAATGAAACTGATCATTCATAGTTCTATAAACAACAGTGGAAAGATTCAAATAACCAATACAACAATAATAATAATAATCATCATTATCATCACTTACCATCACAATCAGCATCTTGAATCATTCGACGTACTTCATCTCGTGTTGTTTTCACTCCAAGAAAACTAAGCACAGATTCTAATTCCGTTTCAGTGATTCGACCATCACGATTTACATCGAATAGAATGAAAGCTTCTCGAAGATCTATGATACAATCAAGTAAGAAGTATATATCTCAATAAGTCCATGAACAAATTAACTTTAATTTAGAATAATCATTAATCAACTGATAAAAACAAGATATAAACGTTTTACAAGGTAACAGATACTCAATATGGAATCAAATTATTTTTGTGTAAAGTAATCGAAAATATACTTCAAATTATTTATCGTTTCAATGAGATTTTAGTTGTTGCTTATTATGACAAGATTGAAGTGAGCGAGTCGTAGGATACACTATGGTAGAGCTGTGACTAAGAGTGAAACGATGAAGTCAGTAATGATTGATTTATCAGTGGATATTAATACATAATGGAAATTATCTTTGATTGATTACAGCTGATCAGTTACATTTAAGTATGGAATGAGTAACACTGATTGACACCTTGTTGAAACAGATGATAGAGTTGTTTGTTTGTTTTCTTTTGATAAGTAGAATGGATGAGGTCGCACAAAATCCCTAGATCAATCAGAGTTAGACGTGAAGACCGTTGGATGCCGGCCCAGTGGTCCAGAGGTTAGGCGTTCGTGCACAATACCGTAGGTCCCGGGTACGAATCCTGCGAGGTGCAGGAGTCGTGGATGCGGACTGCCACTGATGAGTCCCATTCCAGGACGAAATGGCCGTCCAGTGCTTCCACGTTTCTAATGGTGGTCTAGCAATGATTGATTGATGATTTCAAATGTGTAAAAACACTAATCTCCATAACTCTAATTGAAAATAAGTAGAATAACCATATCTGTTTATTCAGTTGAAATTCTATTGGATTCATATTCTGTTGGGGACGTTAGATCCACAGAACTCACTTGGAAAACGTCCTAATTTTGTTATTTATTGCTGAAATTTTGATTTTTTTATGTTTTCGCGCCAAGGACGTTCATTTTGACTTTCAGCTTACATTTTCCACTCGGGGAAATCCTTGACTGTCATTGGTTGATGGATTATTATAGTACACTATTTTGTGGTTCTCACTCAGGGCGTATAAATAAGTTTGAGTTGTGTGCTAAGACACCTCAATCTTTCTAGGTGCCGGGAGAATGCATTCTCTATACCTTATCAAGACATCTTGCTCTAGTTAGCAAGGCCTGTGGTACAGTCGGATTAGAATATCCTATCGTATCACTGAATCATCATTGATCTTTGTTCCGTTTATCGAGTAAGGTGAATAACTCGTAATAACTCGAGCATAACCAATTCTTAACATGATCAAAAGGTAGACAACATTTATTTCCATGCCTGAATGATGACATATATGAGATGGATCGATTGAAAGAAACAACTTAATTTTGTACTCTCGAAAGAGCTAAACAGTCATCATTTATTCTCCCAAACTTTTTCACTATTGATTTCTTTAATGATACTGATAGTTAATATTCAGTGATTCGAATTTCAGATAGAGTGATCCATTAAATTAGTGATAGTCTTCCCTTGTCCAGTAGATATGATACATTCTAGATTTATTGTAACAAGTTGCAATCTGTGAATAATATGGAATTTGATAGTTTTAAAAAATGAACTGACATTTACTAGTGTACAGAGATGTCACTAGTGAACTTCAACTATGTCGATTATCAGGTAGTTAATTAATGACCAACGGTTTTGGAATACAATCGCTGTAAATCACTTAGACTGACTGTTAAAATACTGAATACGAAGCATATGAGAAAGCGTTCAGTTGATGTTAGAGATAGAAAAGCGAGGTCATTTGTTCAGTGTGATTGTTACACACAATGGAAATTTCGTTTTATATTCAGAATGACAATCACTCAAAAAAAACATATTCGTCTTATGTTCTATGTAATAATTTGTACAGCATAATATCGATTCTATTCAGCAGAGTATGTAACATGCATTTATGTGATAATACTATGCCCTAATCTCTTCGATTACTGTTAATACTTCTACACCCTCTACTACTATGGGATTTGAATTTGACAATTGCGTCTCTCTGTGCTTATGTTGTATGTCAATTTGAACTGATGTACTTACTTACGCAAGAAAACTGTTCACAGTTCATGTTAAAAATTAAATGAGAATGATAAAATTACACACACACACACACACGCACTATGAATCTATCTTATACTAGTTTAAGTATTGTGGTAGTGTTTAGTTCTCTGAGCTGGGGATGTTTTCAAGTTGTGGAGCTTTCATTGTTCTTCTACTGAACAACGACATCATCAGCACAAACTTTAGATAGTAGAAGTGAAGTATTCGAATTTCTCCACGTTTGACCTGTAGCTTGTTCTGCTAACCACAACAACAACCAATCATGATCGAGGTTAGCAGAACAAGCTACAGGTCAAACGTGGAGAAATTCGAATACTACACTTCTACTATCTAAAGTTTGTGCTGATGATGTCGTTGTTCAGTAGAAGAACAATGAAAGCTCCACAACTTGAAAACATCCCCAGCTCAGAGAACTAAACACTACCACAATCATCCACCTGAGCTGCAAATTTTCTCCACCATCTCAAAATCATATAAGGTTTAAGTATTGTTTATCTCTAACTATGAGAAACAAACAACCCGAAAAACATTTTGGGTAGAAATCAACCGAATCAAATTATAGTCATTCAGAAAAAAAGAACCAAGTAACACATTTTCCCTTTTTTTTATTCTTTACACATCATCAAAATATCTGTAATTAAACGGATTGAGAATTGATTTTTTTTCATCCATCTTACGATTAACTATTATTATTATTTTTTTCCACTGAATTTAAACACATAAATCAACTAATTGTATCAAAAATGCGTTAGATTGAATATTGATCGCTAGTTTCATTGTAACACTAATCAATTATTCATTTAAAGTTTTAATAATAATAAATATAATTTAATTTGTAACAATTCCAATTAAACTAGTATTGATATTTCGGTTGAAATTCGATCAGTTTTGATTAGCATATTAACACATCGTTCCTGTGTGAATTGACAACAGACACTAAGATGCAAATTAGTGTAAAATATAAATATATGGAATGTGATCAGGGTGCGTGTGTGTGTGCATTTTGTCCTATTTGACACTCGTCAGCTGAAGGCAATTGCTTCTGGAAATCGATAGCCAATCACAAAATAGATTTGAAGTATCAGTTGGCTGTTTTAATCACAGAATTATATTATTTGCTGTACTTCTACAAACTAGGATGAATTAGACAGTTGTTTAACTTTGTATAGGACACTTCTACAGTCTACACAAGGAGTGGACCTTCAAGATCTCGTGGTAAAAGGTTAACTATCAAACCACTAGATGGTATTTCGATGGCATATGCCTTCATCTTTAAACAACCCATGTTAACTACCTATTTCACTCCTAACAACCATGATCTACGTAGATCACAACTTAAACATCTCATCTCAAAGTAAGTCATTAGTGAGGACCGGAAGTCAGTTTAAATGTTAATATTGACTAAGATGTGTACTAGTGAGGAATCTCACACTAAGATGAGACACTTATCTCCCATCGCATGGTTGTCAGTGAGACTATTGACCAGCTAAATATCAAACTTATGTTAAATAGAAAAAAAGCATATGAAATAATCATTTGTTTACACTTTTCTTAATTAGTTCAATTTTTTCTTGCCTATTTCCTTTTTCAAATCATTAATTTTTTCAATCTTTTGCAGATCGATAAAAAAAATTGAATATATAGAAGAAAACTGAGGTGTGTATAATTGAAAAAGAGTTGACACATTCTCTCTCTGTATGTCTCCCTCTTTCTCTTTCCGTATGTATGTGTATGTAGGTGTTTGTAAACAACGGATCAGACAAACCTCTGCCGATAAATTCGCGTTAAAATAAACTCAAACCCTAAAAAGTTAGATATGATAATATATTTTGTGGTTTACACAAATGAAAAACAATCATTCATGTTCAATGATCAAAACAGGTTGATAGTTTTAAGTGAGGAAAAACAAACAAATTGTTAATTATTGAAATTATAAATTAATTATCGTTATACCACCATTTGTAGCCTCAAAGCAGTGGACGACAGTTTCGTCCTGGTATGGAACTCATCAGAAGTACAAAGAAAATTATTATGCAATAAATATATATACATACTTTATTCTCCCTATTCATTTGTGAACAAAATTTGTAGTATTTTGCGAAAAATTATATGGAAATGTTTATTGTGTTCTCAATGAGCTTTCACGTTTAGCTGATGCTTAAATTTTAATCAGACCAGGTTTTCGTACTAGTTGACCTTTTTTTCTCAGTTAGATTTATGGAGATTAGTGTTTTTACACATTGAAGCCATCAATCATCATCATTAGAAACCTGAAAGCACTGGATGGCCGTTTTTTCCTGATATGGGACTCATCAACAGTGAGTACACAGGACTCCTGCTGCCCACAGGATTCGAACCCAGGGTCTCCGGTCTTGTATGCAGACGTGTAAGCACTGGATCGGCATCCAACTGTGTTAGGATCTAACTATAATAAATCTATGGATATAGCGCAACCTCACCCCACTTGTTTTCGGTAGTTACTACCTACACCCGACAGGATTGAGCTTCACTGGTCGGTCATGTCTTCTCATTACTAGAACTTCGAGAATCGCCTTACGAAGAAGCTAGCCACTACTAGCGAGCAGATTGTACATTTTTGATCATTACCACCGAGTTAAGGAGAGAGATTGTTGTTGATGAAAATTAAGACCATTTAAAGAAAAAATCACACAAATAAATGAAAAATTCAGTTAGCAATGCGCAATTGATTGTGTGTACAAAAAAAAAACAAAACAAAAACGAAAATTGAACAAACATTTATCCTACACATAAAACATATGCTACTACTACTATTACTATTGTCAATGGATAATAAAACGCAGTTAGGCGATATATATATATATATATACTTTTTTATGTATGTTACAAGAGATAATTGGATTTTTTTTATATCAAAGAAATATATATATATATATATATACATATATATATATATATATATATATATATGCATATATATATAGACTATACATTA